ATTTGTCTTTTCTTGCAATTATACAAGTTTAAAAGTTATAGATTAGCAATTCAGCTGCTTCCATTTTTAGGCCCCTCACTGCAGAACTCTTAACAGCCTGAGGTCAAATGGGGAGGATGGTGAGCATGCAATTTTTGACCTTGGACCTCATTATCATGTAACAAGTTTCATGGTCAGAGCCTCCTTAGGTTCATGTGTCAATATTCAGGCAAGTGTTTAGGTAAGGTCACAGGTCTGGAGGAAGAATGGCTGCACCTCAGAATCGTATGCTCAGCCATGATATTTTTATGTGACAAAGCAAACTCAATGGATAATATAGTCTACTCCTGCTCCTACTTATGTGTTTATATTTTTAAATGAATGTTTGGATGGTTGGGGAATGCGAAAGGAGCTTGTGAAGGTATATCACAGGTATCTGCTATATTGTTGGAATGTGATCAACGTTGACTAGAAGAACAAAGAGCACTGCAGTGGTCTACATTATTGTTGGTTAGGTCTCAAGTGCAGTTGGGTGAATGGGTGGCTTATGAGATCAGGAATGGTTCAAGACAAAAGGCTCATGAGGTCAGATGTCACAGGACCACAAGCAGCAGCAGCTAAGGTGAATTGTTTAGCACTGATTTTCCCACTGGTGCTGGGCACCTCAGGCACAAGCTGAAGTTGCAAGAGGGAGCAGAAACAAATGGTAGTTTCCTTATTTGAATGTATCGATGACCTGACTCCTGATTCTCTGAGCTGGGTAAAAGATTCCAGTTCTTTGGCTCTTCAGAAATGTTGTTTGGCAATGCCCACACTAGAACTTCACAGATGTGGCACAAGTGTCACTTTGAACACCAAACTGCAGACATGGCACCCAAAGCTCAGGCACCTCCAGAGCTATATTCTAATCTATCGTGTATTGGAAATACTACATTGATGATAGTGGGAGGAGTAAAATTTGTCAGCTCACTTCTTGAATATATGAACCGGTCATCATAGAGGAGCTGACTTTCATGTGAAGTTCTGACCCTGCCTCACATAGGATTTAGCAGCCCTTTGTCATGCTAGATTGAGACGTTAAACCAGTTGGAGAATAAAGAAAGGTTGCGTTTGCTGTAACTATGGAGTGAAGTCTTGAACATGACTCATTAAAATGTAACCATATAACAGAACTTAGTCCAAAACTTTGCAAGGTAAGACATTCATCAGGAAGCCTGAGAACAACGAACCAGGTTGCTCCTCAACGTTCTTCTGAAATATTCTCCGAACTGTTTAATCACAAATATTACGCGTGAGACAAATGACTATTACTTATTAAATATGAATGGTTTAAATATTTGCCTGATGTGGTAAGGCTGAAGACTTGTGTTCAAAAATTATGACAAGCGATAAAGTATTTCTGTAAATCACTGTGCAGTGGTGATACAACTTTCAGAAATATTATGTTTTTGAAAATTTATATTGAGAGATTATTTAAATTATAATGAAATACAGTGCGTCAGAGCTCTGTAGCATGATGAGCATATATATTTGCCCTCTGACAGGTAGTGCAACAATAAATTCATGGCACGATTAGAAGTCACAAACTGCCTGTTAATATTCCTTATCTAATTCAGTGGTGGACATCTGAACAACCCATCATTTCTTGGTATATGCATACACTCTCTGCAGTCGTCAGTGAAAGTGGCATCTGTGGTTGGCGTCAGGATCGGGATGTTGGGCTTCAGCTGCGGGTGATATGGTAGGCCCGAATCAGTACTCCTGGTGGACCAATGAGAATGGTGGAATGGTGGAATCGGTACTCCTGGTGGGTCAATGGGAATGGTGGAACTGGTACTCCTGGTGGATCAATGGGAATGGTGGAATGGTCAAATCGGTACTCCTGGTGGATCAATGGGAATGGTGGAATGGTGGAATCAATACTCCTGGTCCATCAATGGGAATGATGGAACCGGTATTCCTGGTGGATCAATGGGATGATGGTTGCAATAGCAGTGACATAGTAGGCCTGGTGTGGTGCTCCTGGAATGCAGCAGCGGCAGTGTTGGCCCAGAATAGGACTCCTGGAATGGACAGTGATGTAGGCTGTTAGCGGGCCTGGAGCCTGCTTTGGAAAACACCCCCAGATGTTGAGCAGATCACAAGAAGGGAAGAAGAACTGTGTCCTTAGTTATATTCTCGTTATACCTTAATATCTTCTGTAACTCAAAATGGGGCTGGAGCAAGGTGACATATTACACAGTTCACTGTATTTGTTAAATACAAGTGGCAAGAAACTATTCAATTCATTTGTGAAGTGCTTTATGCTCCTTTCCATTTCTATATTTGCATGACCAGTACTGTGCTGGCATGACGTAGGATTACATACAAATATGTGCTATTTAGGTAATTTGTTATGAACATAGAACATTGAACATAGAGTACAGCACAGTACAGGCCCTTCGGTCCATGATGTTGTGCCGACCTATTATCCTACTAAGATCAATCTATCCTCCATACGCCACATTTTACTATCCTCCATGTGCCTATCCAAGAGTCACTTAGAAATCTCTAAAGTATCTGACTCCACTACCACTGCCGGCAGCGCGTTCCACACGCCCACCACTCTGTGTAAAAAACCTACCTCTGACATCTCCCCTATACCTTCCTCCAATCACCTTAAAATTATGCCCTCTCGTAATAGTCATTTCCGCCCTGGGAAAAAGTCTCTGACTATCCACTGTATCTATGCCTCTCATCATCTTGTACACCTCTATCAAGTCACCTCTCATCCTTCTTTGCTCCAATGAAAAAAGCCCTAGCTCCCTCAACCTTTCCTCATAAGGCCTGCCCTCCAGTCCAGGCAGCATCCTGGTAAATCTCCTCTGCACCCTCTCTAAAGCTTCCACATCTTTCCTTTTAATGAGGTGACCAGAACTGAACACAATATCCCAAGTGTGGTCTAACCAGAGTTTTATAGAGCTGCAGCATGACCTCATGGCTCTTTTCCCCTGCCAATGAAAGCCAACACACCATACTCCTTCTTTACAACCCTATCAACTTGGGTCGCAACTTTGAGGGATCTATGGACGTGGACCCCAAGATCCCTCTGTTCCTCCACACTGCTGAGAATCCTGCCGTTAACCCTATATTCTGCATTCAAATTTGACCTTCCAAAATAAATCACTTCACATTTTTCTGGGTTGAATTCCATCTGCCACTTCTTTGCCTAGCTCTGCATCCTGTCCATGTCCCATTGCAACCAACAAAGCCCTCCACGCTGTCCACAACTCCACCAAACTTCATGTCATCGGCAAACTTACTAACCCACCCTTCCACTTCCTCATCCAAGTCAATTTATTAAGATCACAAAGAGCAGAGGTCCCAGAACAGATCCCCGCAGAACACCACTGGTCACTGAGCTCCAGGCTGAGAACTTTCCATCTACTACCACCCTCAGTCTTCTATTGGACAGCCAGTTTTGTATCCAGACAGCCAAATTTCCATGAATTCCATGCATCCTTACTTGCTGAATGAGCCTACCATGTGGAACCTTATCACATGTCTTGCTAAAATCCATATACACCACATCCACTGCTCCACCTCCATCAATGTGTTTTGTCACATCCTCAAAGAATTCAGTAAAGCTTGAGGCATGACCTGCCCCTCTCAAAGCCATGCTGACTATTTCTAATCAAACTGTGCTTTTCCAAATAATCATAAATACTATCTCTCAGAATCCTCTCCAATAATTTGCCCACCACAGAAGTAAGACTGACCAGTCTGTAATTTCCAGGATTATCCCTATTCCCTTTCTTGAGCAAGGGAATGACATTTGCCACCCTCCAATGTTCCAGTACTAGAGTGGACAGTGAGGACACAAACATCATTGCCCAAGGGGCAGCAGTCTCTTCCCTTGCGTCCTGTAGAAACCTTGGGTATATCCTGTCTGGCCCAGGGGACTTATCTATCCTCATGTTTTTCAAAATTTCTAGCACATGCTCCTTCCTAACATCAACCTGTTCGAGCATGTCCGCCTGTTTCATGCTGTCCTCACAAACGTCAAGGTCCCTCTCCCTGGTGGACACCGAAGCAAAGTATTCATTAAGGACCTCCCCTACCTCCTCTGACTCCATGCTGAAATTCCCTCCACTATCCCTGATTGGCCCTACCCTCACTATGGCCATCCTCTTGTTCTTCACGTAAGCATACAACACCTTGGGGTTTTCCTTGATCCTACCTGCCAATGTTTTCTCATACCCCCTTCTAGCTCTCAAGTCCATTTTTCAGTTCCTTCCTGACTACCTTGTAGACCTCTGGAGCCCTGTCCAATCCTTGCTTCCTCAACCTTAAGTAAGCTTCCTTCTTCCTCTCGACTAGGTATTCCACATATCTTGTCATCCAAGGTTCCTTCACCTTACCATCCTTTCCTTGCCTCAGAAGGACAAACCTATCCAGTACTTGTAACAAGTGCTCCCTAAACAACCTCCACATTTCTGTTTTGCATTTCCCGGAGAACATCTGATCCCAATTGGTGCTCCGTAGCTCTTGCCTAATAGCATTGTAATTCCCCCTCCTCCAATTAAATACTTTCCCATACCGCCTGCTCCTATCCCTCTCCATGACTATAGTAAAGGTCAGGGAGTTGTGATCACTATCTTCTCTCCATTTGCAATTTTATGTGTGGTTTTTCCTTTTCATTGTCTACTGGAACCTTTAAGAACACCATAGTGGACAGAGAAGGAAAGCAAGTAGCTTGTCAGTATTCCTGTCAAATTGATTGCTTGGTCACATGTGAAAGGGACCTGTGTTCACTCCTTTTTCCTATGCGCCCCCCCCCCCCCTAAAAGAGGTCCCCAGTTTTTGCTCTAATCTCTCCTTGAAGGCATAGTTGAGATTAGAAATTGTTATAGTGCATGAGATGTGGGGAGGAAATGTCCTTCCATTGTACAGTACACCCTATGGAAGTGCCATGAAGTGTTTTGAATTTGTGTAATAAGTAATGATATCATTACTTATTTTAAATGCTTTGATTTCCACAGGTTCCAATTCACACTCGCACAGGAAGCTTGGGCGGTGGGGGAATAGATACAGCATCGGTCTTTGTAAATGAGGCAGCACTCCAATATTCACCAAACAATTACCAAAGAGCAAACAGTGCACAGACAGTTTCTGAACCTCATAAAATGGAGAGCACCTTGAACTCTAGTGTAAGGATTAATGAAAACTTGAAACATGAAGTTCCTGTTCAGCTTCTCAGTGCAACCAATCAGCTTCTGAAACCTACAGGCATCCAACAACAGATACCAACAAAATTGGCAAGTTTCTCCAAAGGAAACAGGGAAAAAATCAAAGGTAAATGAATATAATTTTGCAATTGTTCACACTTTCCATCCATTTAACTTTACAGTTTTCGAATAAAACTTAGTCAACATTTTTAACAAGAGAAAAGTTATAACAATGTAATGACAGGATTCCAAATATTGGATAGTCGCAGTTCCCTTGCCTATCTCCCACCTCTCCATGCTCTACTGGCTACAGAATTGAAATTGTAACACATGTGACACCAATAAGAAAGGTATCTATTTGCTTATCAACCTGCTGTGTGTAATTGAGCTGCTGTGTTTGCCTGCATTACAAGAGTGAATATATTTTAAATTAATTCATTGGCTGTGGAGGGTTTTGTGACATGCTGAAGATGTGAAAGATGCTGTAACAATGCATGTTTTCTTTGTTAATATTTTTCTTGTATTATTATACTTCTGATAGTTTTGCATTATATTCCCTTTATAACCAAGGAGAAAACACCTTTTCAGGCTCTTCTGAAGTAGACATACTGGCCTCAACATCAGTTGTATTGCCCTCTCCACAGATTCTGCCAGACTTGCTGGGTTTCTCCAGGATTTTGTTTTTATTTCATAATTCCACATCTGCAGTATTTGGTTTTGTTTAATATATCCTACATTGTTTATCAGAAATTTGCACATATCAGAATGAATAGGTTGCTGCACTTCCCATGTTATTTGATAATGCTGCTCGACAATCATCAGAAGTTGCCTCCATTTGAGATTGTTGATTTCGGTCAGTTTATATTGAAGTGGGAAAGAATGAACAAATTTGTATATATGCAGAAATATTCACACCTTATGTATACCTCAAGTATTTTAAAGCTTATAACTTACTTTTGAAGCATAGGGCTAGATTTTTATGCCTTTGTTCATGCCAGAACAGAAGAACAGCTTTACAAATGACAAGCAGGAGCCAGCTCCAGGATTCCCTCCCTTACCCTCATCTCTAGCCGATTTTTGCTGGTGGAGGATAAGTCTGCAGATAATGGATCTGCATAGAGCATTCCCATTCTTGTCAGTGTGAATTTGACAGTGTAGATGTTTCAGACCCTTCACAGTTTTGGAGTCAACATAGCTTTTGCAGGAGATGTGGTTCACAGCTCTTTCAGGAAGTTCTAAATCATGAGAAATTGTAGTCTGGAGTTGGAAACTTTTTTGACAGGTGAGTTTAAGAGGAATTGAGATTTTTTTTAATACCTGTTTAAGGGTTATCTGTCTTTAAGTATATTTTGAATACAATGATTGATCATGGGGCTGTATCCGAAAAAGCAAGAGATCATTAAATTGACCAGCACATTCTGTAAGGGTTCAGATGCATTTCAGTCCTTTTTTACATTGGTTAAAGTTCTCCTTTGCATTCTACAATATGGAGAATTAGATGTAAATGCCTGTAGGGAACACCATGGTTTAATGTTCACAACAAATTGATCTTTGCTGAACCTTGGAAGCAGTATTCCATTATTGAATCCCTACAGTGTAGAAAGAGGCCATTTTGTCCATTTGAATCTGCACTGACCCTCTGAAGAACATCCCACCCAGACCCACCTGTAACCCCATATTTACCATGGCTAATCCACCTAGCCTGCACATCCCTGGACGCTACGGGACCACGTAGCATGGCCAATCCATCTAATCTACACATCTTTGGATTGTTGGGGGGAATCCCAAGCATGTGGTGGAAACCCACACAAACCCAGAGAGAATATGCAAAGTCCACACAGACATTCACCCAAAGTTGGAATCGACCCTAGCACTGTGAGACAGCAGTGCTAACCAGTGTGCCACTCTGCCACCCGGAGACTAGGTATCCAACTCATAAGCCATATAATAACATTGGCAAACCTTTGAAATGCTCATCAAATTTTAAAAAAAGGCATTTAACATTTCCTTTGAAAAATGTTGCATTCTTACAATTTCATGAATCTGTCAATCAAACATATCCAGTGAATGTCCCTTTGAAGAAACATTTCATCTACTTAGCATCTCCTAACCATGCCAAAATAAACACACAACCATTGAAAAACCACTTCAAAAAATGTAGTTGAACAAAGTCACATTTTTTTCCACACGAAGTTGTTTTTGTTTTGTAGTCGCCAGAACATTTGCAAGAATTCCTGTGACTTTGCTGATGAGTGCAAGAAGAAAAGCTTCAATAAATTGTGTCCTTTCTTTAGCAGTACTAAAGAAGCAGTTACTACAATCTCATAGGACTGTTAATCTCTTTGCAGACCCCACTACCAAAGACTTTTTCCCTCCCCACCCTTATCTGCTTTCTGGAGCGACCGCTCTCTCCATGACTCCCTTGTGCGCTCCACACTCCCCACCAGCCCCACCACCCCCGGCACTTTTCCCTGCAACCTCAGGAAGTGCTACACCTGCCCCTACACCTCCCCGCTTACCCCCATCCCAGGCCCCAAGAAGACCTTCCACATCAAACAGATGTTCACCTGCACATCTGCTAATGTGGTATACTGTATCTGCTGTTCCCGATTGTGGCCTTCTCTACATCAGGAAAATCACGCGGAGGCTTGGGCACTGCTTTGTGGAACACATACGCTCAGTTCGCGACAAACGTCTGCACCTACCAGTTGCGAACCATTTCAACTCCCCCTCCCACTCCTTGGAGGACATGTCTATCCTGGGCCTCCTGCAGTGCCACAATGATGCCACCCGAAGGTTGCAGGAACAGCATCTCCTATTTCGCTTGGGAACCCTGCAGCCCAATGGTATCAATGTGGACTTCACAAGCTTCAAAATCTCCCCTCCCCCGACCGCATCCTGAAACCCAGCTCGTCCCCGCCTCCCTAACCTGTCCTTCCTCCCACCTATCCACTCCTCCCACCTCAAGCCCCACCCCCATCTCCTACATACCAGTCTCATCCCGCCTCCTTGACCTGTCCGTCCTCCCTGGACTGACCTATCTCCCTAACTCCCCACCTACACTCACCTTTACTGGCTCCAACCCTGCCCCTTTGACCTGTCTGTCTCCTCTCCACCAATCTTCTCCTTTATCCATCTTCTGTCCGCCTCCCCATCTCTCCCTATTTATTTCAGAATCCTCTTCCCCTCCTCCATTTCTGAAGAAGGGTCTAGACCCGAAATGTCCGCTTTCCTGCTCCTCTGATGCTGCTTGGCCTGCTGTGTTCATCCAGCTCTACACCTTGTTATATCAGTTCTTTTTCTAGCTGTGTACTCAACAGCCAACTGGATCAAGTCCATTAGTCTTTCTTGAAGCTCTGAAAAGCATTTATATTGTGGCTGGCTGAATAAAGGTCTGATTATTTGTTCAACTTGTGTCAGTTCATACAGTTGTCAGATACTCAGTGCTGCTAGCTTACTGTCATAATGCTTTCTCACTTAGAACCTAGTTATATGTTCATGGCATTCATGTCTTGCATTGCCCTACCTCAAGCAGAGGCAAAGACTTTCAGTATTGCTCAATTGAGTGCAGTCATACAGATCATGTCAGAGGGAGCACAGCTGGCATCCCCCTGGTGCAAGGTGCCATGGACTGCACACATGACATTGAGAGGGTCAAGGCACAACACTGCAGAATTGATCAACAGGAAGGAGTTCCTTTTCACTCATATTCAAGTGATCTTTGATCACCATTAATGTTTCCTGGAGGTGTGTCCCTGCTACCCTGGCAGTGAAGTAGCAGTAGTGGAGTCTTCCTTCTCTTGTAAATGAGCTTGGTTAGACACACCTGGACTAGTTTGTGCAGTTTTGATTTCCTTATCTCAGGAAAGATATTACCATAGACATAGGTCAACGAAAGTTGACCGGACTTGTTCCCAGGATGACCGGGTTGTCCAATGAAGAGAGATTTGGGCAAACTGGACCTGTATTCTTCAGAGTTTTGAAGAATGATAGGTGATTTCATTGAAACCTACAAAATACTTAAAGGGAAGACTTACTTGCAGTCAAGATGTTCCATTGTTTGAGGAGTCGAGAATGAGGCCCACAGTTGAAAATTAAGGGAATGCCACTTAGGTCTGAGATTAGGAAAAATGTTTTATTACACAGAAGGTTGTGAACTTTGGAATTTGCTGCTTCAGAGGACTGTAGAAACTCGTACTGTAGAGTATGTTTAAGGTAGAGATTGATCAGCTTCTGATCAACCATTAACCATGAATGCATTGAATGGTTGGGCAGGCCTCCAATGGGCTGAATGGCCCACTCCTCAATTTTAAGTTTGAACATAGGAACAGAAGATATGCAGAGACTTGCAATAAGTGTCTGTGATTTCAATGAGTTTAACAAGACTCATCTTTAAAGTCTACAGAGAATGAATGTAGATGGAGAATTACCATCAAATTTGATTGGGGAACATGTTCATCAATTAGTTGGGCATAGATTTTGATTTTTCATAGTAGTGTCAGATAAGTTACAGTGAATCAGAAGCCTGTGTACAACTCTCCCAATTTTTATCTGTGTTAAAATCATAATCTTATTTATATACCATATATTTGATTGTTCAATTTGTTGTGTAAAATGCCAGCCAGATGGAATGCATACAAAGTAATCCAGCTAAGAATAGTATATCACATAGTGGATAAAAACATATGCATTTATTATATTCTGTATTTTGCAGAAAAGGTAATAACAATTTACTTAACTGTCATATAAGGGCATTATTCTCATGAAAGTACTTGCCAGTCTTTTTGTTTTGTATTGAGAAAAGAAATGGAACTGTTAGTTTTGATATTTCCTTGAAATGCTCCAGCTAGTTGTTAACTGGTTGGGTAAGCCACAGATAAAACCATTGGAAATCTTCCAGAATAAACTGCTGCCAAGATATTTCTACAAGAACATGGGCAAGTCTTTGATGGTCTGTCAACCACCTGGGAGCAAATGGCTTTGTTTATGTATTCTCTACATATTTACAAACTCCTAAGGATCAAACACAAGATCTGAATGCAGGAGAGAATAGCAGTTTTGGTAACTGCTTAAAAGCTGTGGAAGGCTTCAGTATTTGACCTGTTGGAGTTGAGTGCACCACGTCTA